TCATTACAGAGAAAAGCAAAAGAAAAACACCAATCGGATTGCAGAATTAAAGATCGAAAAGGAAAACACCAAATTTTATCCCATCTCAAAAAGAAGAGCATCAGGTCCCACAATTATGTTGCACACACTCAAATAAAACTTCCACAAATTCCATTTATTTTCTAAAAAGAAAAATATATTTTAAATTTACCAACTTTATCTGAAGGACACAATTATATAAATCTTATGATCATACTTATCTATCCTTTTCTTATATTTTGTTTTTTCAAAAAATAAGATCACTGTTTAACTATTTTCGCTTATAAATAGATACCCTCCTTCAACCTCTTAACTCACATTTTAACCAAGCATCAAAAACACTATTCAAACAGAGACTTTTTACATAGAGAGAGATATGGAGAAGAACATTAAGTTTCCAGTTATAGATTTGTCTAAGCTCAATGGTGAAGAGAGAGACCAAACCATGGCTTTGATCGATGATGCTTGTCAAAACTGGGGATTCTTTGAGGTATCTTGTCTCTCTCTATAAGCAAATGATTTATTGAGATTTTGTTATATATTCATTGAACGAACTGAAATATAACTTGAATATTTTTTCCCCATTTATTATCACTATGAAACAATATTTACTTAGGATCGAAAAATCAAAATATTTTTGCTTTTGAAAACAGTGGGACACATTATAATTTTGTTATACATTTCAGTTGTTGAACCATGGAATACCATATGATCTAATGGACAATATTGAAAAGATGACAAAAGAACACTACAAGAAATTTATGGAACGAAAGTTCAAAGAAATGCTTCGTTCCAAAGGTTTAGATATTCTTGAAACCGAAGTGGAAGATATCGATTGGGAAAGCACTTTTTACCTTCATCATCTCCCTCAATCTAATCTCTACAACATTCCTGATATGTCAGACGAGTACCGGTACACACACACACAAATTTTTTGATTCATCCTTAACTCAAAATCTTTGAAAAACCATTGATTTGCTTTCGATATTATTTACCAGGACTGCAATGAAGGATTTAGGGAAGAGGTTGGAGAATCTAGCAGAGGAATTGTTGGATTTGTTGTGTGAGAATCTAGGGTTAGAGAAAGGTTACTTGAAGAAAGTGTTTCATGGGACAAAAGGTCCAACTTTTGGGACAAAGGTTAGCAACTATCCATCTTGTCCTAAACCGGAGATGATCAAAGGGCTTAGAGCTCACACTGATGCTGGAGGACTCATATTGCTATTTCAAGATGATAAGGTCAGTGGTCTTCAGCTTCTCAAAGATGGTGATTGGGTTGATGTTCCTCCTCTCAAGCACTCCATTGTTATCAACCTTGGTGACCAACTTGAGGTACAATTGTTATTCGGTTTAATCGCGGTTTATAATATTTGACAAGGATCTAAATCCGGTTTTCGAGTTGATCTCAGCTAAAACCGGGACTTAACCGGTTTATTCGGATATTAACTGGTTTGTTTTTTTGTCTTACAATTAGCCAAATCCGGTTGTTGTATTTAATTGGCAAACCGATATTAATCAACAAATTGGTTAAGGTTTAACCGGAATGTATATATATGCTGATCATCAAATGTGCTTGTAGGTGATAACAAACGGGAAGTACAAGAGCATAATGCACCGCGTGGTAACCCAAAAGGAAGGAAACAGAATGTCTATCGCGTCTTTTTACAACCCGGGAAGCGATGCCGAGATCTCTCCAGCAACATCTCTCGTGGATAAAGACTCAAAATACCCGAGTTTTGTGTTTGATGACTACATGAAACTCTATGCAGGACTCAAGTTTCAACCTAAGGAGCCACGCTTCGAGGCGATGAAGAACGGTGCAGCAGCAGCGGATTTGAATCCCGTGGCTGCGGTAGAAACATTCTAAAATGGGATGTGTGGGGGATTTTCTATGAAGGCAAACAAGATGAGAAGAAGTGTGGTAATATGTCAATAAGTTAAATAAAAGGGTTTAAGAAAATCAAGAATTAATAGTGTGATTAGTTGTGATCACTTATGAATCTGGTGTGTGTTATGTGAGAGTGTTTATGCAGTGATTGTGTCGGTACTGACTAAATTATAATCTTGAAGTTGTTATCTTTGAAATTTTTAGACTACATAACTTTAAACAAGTTAACAACAACAACCTACTGTATGAAGAAGATTGAAAAAGAAAAACAATTAGCGTTTATAAATTTGGGCTTCGTAATATTTCGGCCCAAAGGCCCAAAATTGGAACTTTGGTCTTTCAGAGTTTTTCTAGGGCACATCATCACTCTGTATCGAACTATAAATACCTCTCTGGATTCTTAGCCATCTCTAATCCTTCTGTATCCGGCGATCTCTAATAATTTCTTACA